TTACTCCTATCAAAGATACTCAATTTATGGAGTTCATGCGGAATTTATGGGTAGGTTCACAAAAAAAATCATCAAGAACTTAAATTGGTCAATATATATGGATAGGTTCGCAAAATAAACTCATGATTGGAGTGTGGGTGAACAAACCCAACACTATGGAAGCTTACATACCTCAAAGAACAAGGTTCTTGGAGAAATCTTGAATTTCTTGAACAAATGCTAGAAACATTAAACTTTTTTTCCTCTTGAATCTTCTCTATAAAACCCTATACTCTTTTGGGGATGAATGAAACTAATTTTAACCAGTTTAAACCCTTAGTTGGGTGTAATTCATGTTTAGAATCAGTGGGGGTAAGGAAAAAACTAAAATACCCCTCCTATTTTTCGATAACTTTCCTTGAATGGGAAGCCTGACTTAAAAATGGCATATCTCCCTCATACAAGCTCAAAAATTAGCAAACTTGATGACGTTGGAAAGAGGACTCGGAGATATTTCATTTGATATCTTATGAGTCTTCTACGTCATTATGTGCTAAAAGTTATGGTTGTTTGAAGTTTACCCAAAACTTAAAAGAACTTAGGAATGAATTGAATGATCTCTCTTCTAAAACCCTAAGCGTATTTGGATGTATGAAAGGTGACCCAAATCATATTTGTCCACAAAATATTACTAAAATTCGGTTTAAGCTGATTGGGTAAGGAAAAGACCAAAATACCCCTCATATGTTTGGGTAAGTTTCCTTAATTGGTAAGCCCGACTTTAAATGGGCATTTCTTCCTTATACGAGCTCAAAAATAAGCAAATGCGATGGCGTTGAAAAGAGGACTCAGTGATCTTTCGTTTGATATCTTATGAATCTCCTAACTCATCATGTACTAAAAGTTATGGGCGTTTGAACTTGACCCAAAACTTAAAAGAAGCTAGGAATGACTTGAAGGAATTATCTTTAGTTCTTTTTGGAACTCAAAGTTCTTTATCTAGCGACCTTAAAACTTAAGAAAATTTTAAATAAACGGTAAAATCTTACTCACAATGAAGAATGGTTCGAGTCCTAGCTCAAAAGAATTATGGGGTGTTACACACATCCTGGCGCGCCACGCCAGCAGTGCACCAAAACTGCGCCTTTGATGTTTAGGGGCTGGTGCCCTGCGCCACTCAGTGCGCCAGGGCCGCCTACCCCCATCCTGCTTCCATCGTTTGACCCATCTGAGTTCCTTTTAAGGTATACCTTTACTCCTTTCTAATTCTAACTACTCTAAATTACATCTAATCATTGAGAGATCCTTCATAACATGAATCATAACCGTTGAATTTATAATTCAAATTCAAGAAAGAGTTAACAGTAAAGTTTTAAGAGTTCTTCGGAGTCATTTTGAGAAATCTTTTACAATATTTTCAAACATGTTTAAGACTTGAGTACTTGAGTTTGAGTATGAGGAGAGTTGAATTTCATTTTTCAAAATTAATATATGGTAACTAAGTATTCCCAAGAGTAACTGTATTTTACATTTAAAATGAGGGGAAACATCGATTTCCAAATGATCTCATAAGGAGTTTTTTAGTATAATCTCTTTTAAGAGAATCTTTCTAGTAATAATCTCAAAGCTTTTGGATGAGGAAATGTTTTTTAACATATGAGCTGAGTATATTTTTGGAAATAGTATTGAGCACCGATATAGGGATGAATTCATACAACTCAGAGTTCTCATAAACCATATAGCCAACGTGGGTAGAAAGGATCATACTTTTTAAGCACAACTTAGTGGATCCACTTAGTTGAGGATGTCTTATACCCTAGCAAGGTATAAGACAGTTCTGGCAGCATGGGCGAAATGTTGTATCGTCACATAGCTCATAGTGATGGTTGTCAGTTTGAGAATCTCCCAAATTGAGTTATTTGGTATCTTTACATACAAACTGAGTTATTATTGTAATTTAAAATACATTGAGTTGTTATATACTAATTTAAATGCTTTATATAAACTGCATCTTTATTGTTGTTTTTATACTGCATTGAGTTGAGTAACCATGAGTTGACGTTGAGTTTTTCTAGAGTTGAAGTGAGTATGACTCCTACTTTCCAAGTACAAGCTTTCATGTTATGTTCAGTATTTCCCCTTACATGCTCGTACATTCAGTGTACTAATGTCATTTGGCCTACATCATTTCAAGATGCACATACAGGAGATCAAGGTCATCAACAGACGCTTCGTTGATACCATATTAGTTTGAGTTAGCTTTGGTGAGCCTCCTTGCTTCCGGAGGATCCCTTATTTATTTCCATTATTTCAGTATTGTTAGGATGACCGGGGGTCTTGTCCCGACATCCCTCATAGTATTAGAGGCTTCATAGATAGATAGATAGTAGTACTTAAGGAGTCTTTCTTTCATTTCATTTATTAATGTTTTAAAGACTGTGAGTTGAACACATATGTTCATTTGAGTATTTTGAGTTAACTAATTTACTTATGAGTTGATTAGTTTGTGTTATTCTATTTTACTTTAGTAAGTCTTCCGCTGAGAGTTGAGCCAGGCCAAGCATTCGCTTGGTCCAGCAATGCTTCTCGAGTGTTGGCCACGTCTAGGGTATAGGGTCTGGGATGACAACTATGATCAAAATTTCAAAGACAAATACCCTCCTAATTAATGTTTATTAAGGGACGTGTAAATAGTAAATTCGACAAATATTTTGAAGCAGAGAAAGTATTATTTTTTTATACTTCCAATAAATAATCAAAATGCAAGACATAATTTAGTAACTCCCTTTTATTTATTGATGTTACTTTTGGTTGTTTACGTTTTGCAAATATTTATAGATTATTTAATTGTACTTCTAGTTAATAACCACTAACCATGAAATTTCTTCCAGACCCCGAGGATGCCCCTTGGACGTGGACACGGGACCTAGGATCACGAATGACCCCAAGCTAACCCTGCTGGCAAAATCATAAGCATACTAAAGATAAACTGAAGGTATAAATACTATGCGGAAGCTAAATCATGAGATAATCTAAACTGATGGGAAATACACATATATTAAATCTAAATATAAGAAACTGAGACTTTGAATACAAACGAAAAGTCAAACTCTAACACTAAAGCTAAAACTAACTGTGTCTGAAATAAAACCTCTACTGACTAGAAATATTGGGACATGCCCCAGCTAGATCTAGCAAAACTGAAACTAATGCAAAAAGCAACAAAGAAAATCATGTCACTAGTCCTCGAAAAATGAGGACTCACCCTTGATGCTGCTAAACTAAAGATCGGGAACCGATCTATGCGTGATATGACTCCTGAGGACCTGAACCTACATCCCGAGAAGATGTAGCTCGGAGTATGCATCAATACTTGAAAGGTATCGAGCATGTATGATAGAATAAAGTTGAATAGCAATGGTATAATCTAAATATGAAAAGGATACTGAAAGTACTGTACATGACTAAACTGAATGCAATGACCAAGTTTATAACATGTTGCGATTGAATACTGAACTATACTGATAACATGGTCAATGCAATAGAATCTGACTGAACTGTAAGGGAGCTACTAATAACCGACATAAAACCACATAAGCTAAATGTGGAGTCTGATGTATACGCCCCATCAAGAGGACCCAATATACCCTGCTATAGGTATAGAGGCATGCTGGCGTCATCACTAAAATGATGCCCACATAGGGGACATACAACCTACGGGGCACGTAGTTCGGGGACTTGAGGGTAAATGACCCTATTCCACTCGGTATTAAGCTACCCATATGAATAAGTAATTAACACTTTATGACTGAAAAGTTGTAATACTGATAATAATGCATTCGAAAACTGAGGCATGTTAATATCTAACTGAATTTACTGACCTAGCATGTGTACTTCATGAATTAAGAGAACAACATAGCTAGGGTTCTGAGTTTATGAATAAATCTGGGCAAAAACAATACTATAACATGATAATGTGATTTGGATCAATCTAACAGCTGAAAAACCCAACAATTCTAACTTTCAAGAAACCCTAATTCTAGATAATTGTAAGGGAATCAAGATTCTGACTGAAATCTAGGGACCTAATGGGTAAAATAAACCCACTAGTGAAATCCCACATACCTGGTGGTGAATTCTACGGAGAAATGTTTCAATTTTGGGGCTGGAACTGATGCAACCTTCTGTGTTCTAGATCTAGGGTTGCTCGACCTCTTTCTCCTCTCACGTTCTAAATTTTCTAAGTTTTGATGAATGATATGACTTAGGTAGGTTCTAGTTATTTTTCTAGGCTAAAATTGACCAAAAATGTAGTTTAGAATTTAAACCACATCGTTTAGGTGTCCAATGCATAAGGAAAAGACCAAAAGACCCTTGACATAACTACTGTCGGGGTCACCGACGGACGGGACAGATGGACCGTCGATTGACTGACGGTCCGTGTTAGTCAACCGTCAATCGCAACTGGAGGCTGGGATTTGAGGATCCGATCCACGGACGCAGACCACGGCCCGTGGGCTGACCTATTGTTCGTGGGTCCATACGTGGGTCAACCCTTAAAATAAAATTTTGGTTTGAGTTTGGGGAGGGTTGCAGATGTGAACCACGGACCACTAGCACGGGCCGTGAGTCACCATACGGTCCGTGGGTGGCAACCTTGTGTTGCACCTGCAACTTCTGGAAATCTACATCGTGGTATGATTTCGGATACGGAGTGTTACAATTACCTATCTATTATGATTTTTCATAGTATCTCAAATATTAATTAATAAAACATTTTAAGTAATATTTTAGCACTTTCATGGCGAGCATTTAGCCTCACAAAACAAAGGTCACGAAAGCAAAGTAAGATAAATTCTTCTTCAAATTTATGTTGCTTGAACTTTGCAAAAAATAATAAAAAGCGAATGTTAGATACTTTAAAAATAATAAATTTTTGGAGAACTTCATACGAATTACATAGTATTACATAATTTTAAACCATGGATATATATTTTAAACTAACAACGGAAGTCATAATAATGGCTAGTGCTCAGTTCGATATTTTTGGTTGCACATTCGTCGCAAAAACTCTTACTTTTTTTGTGGTGGCTACATGAGCCGCACAAAAATGTCCTCACTTAAAATTTTATTTCTTGTTGTGGTTGTTAAAAGTGGAGATAATTATTGGAAGGAGTTTAATTGAATCTCTTTAGTTGCGATATAATATTGAGTAAATAAGATAAAATAGTTTTGCATATGTACACATTGTTAAATTCCCTTAACATTTAGGGAACTTTTAGTTTCATAGTAAAAGTGATTTAAAAATTAGTTTATGCCTCAATTCAAATTTGAAGTCAAACATTGTTTTTTGAGTTCTCTCATTAGAAGTAATAGAATTTCTAGTTGTGCCACTAATCGAAGTTATGTTGTTTTTGTGTGCAGTGCTGACAATAGATACTACAAATATTAGATGCTAGGTGATGCTAATTGTTGTTTAGGGAGTTCTAGTGCAAACATCCTCAGCAAGGAAGCTTCCCTACAATATATCCATTATTACCCAATTTATCTAACTTCAATGGTGAATTCAACGAAATTATAGGAGGCCTTGGTGGTGGTGGTGGCGGCGGTGGTAGTGGTTGTGGCGGTGGTGGTGGTGGTGATAGAGGTGGTGGAGGTAGTGATGGGGGATTTGGTGATGGATTTGGATTTGGCGAGGGTCATGGATCGGGTGAAAATGATGGATTTGGCCAAATTGTAGGGGGCCTTATTGGTTGCGGTAGTGGTGGTGGTGGAGGAAGAGGAGGTAGTGATGGTGGATCTAGTTTTGGCATTGGAAATGGTGAGGTCACGGCTTCGGTGCAAATTGTGGTGGAGGTGGCGGTAGAGGTGGTGGTGAAGGAGGAGGTAGTGATGGAGGATTTGGTTTGGCATTGGATATAATGAGGGTCATGGATGGGGAGAAAAAGGTGGTGGTGGTGCTCAAAATGGTGGTAGTGGTTTCGTGCCGCAGGAGTATGGGGCCATGGTGGTGGTGGCAATTGATTCCACCATTTGTGTCATGACCCGAGCCTACACCAAGGACGTGGCCGGCACTAGAGAACCATTTCTGGCCCCCAAGCGAACCCTCATCCTGGCTGACTACAAGCGGAAGACTAACACTCAAACATACAAAGCTTAAAAAATGAATTAGAAAAATTCATGAAAACTTAATTACAAAGCTTTAACTCAAAACAAAACTCTGAATAATATAATATATTTAACTAGCCCCAAAATAGGCAACTTAATTCTTTAAAACATTTAGCAAAATAAATGAACATACTTCTGAAACTTTACGGTCTATCTATGAAGCCTTTAAATGACAAAGATGGAAGTCAGGACAAGACCCACGACATCCTAACAACTGGTATAATTGAAAAGTAAATGAAATCCTCCGGAAGAAAGGAGGCTCACTATAGCTAACTCGAACTCCTTGTGGTATCAACGAAACACTTGTTGATGATCCCAAATACCTGAATCTGCATCATGAAAGGATGCATGCCAAATGGCTTAGTACGTGGAATGTACGAGCATGTAAGGGGAATTCTAAAGCATAACATTAGCTTGAACTTGATAAAAAGGAAACATACTTACCTCTTCTCAACTCACTCAACTAATTCAACTCAGGAATAAGATACTCAACTCAAATATAAGATATTCAACTCAGTGAAAAAAGGTTCAACTCAATAATGAGATATTCAACTTAGTGAAATAAGGTTCAACTCAATAATAAGACACGCAACTCTTGGTACTCAAACTTTGGATACTCAACTCTAGATACTCAATTCAATATAAAGCAAAAATAAGAGATGTAATATATGGAAAGGTTTTAAAACAGTAGAAAGCAACTCAATGTATTTTAGAATACAATTTACTGAGTTTGTATGGAAGGATACAATATCAACTCTGTTTCTATCTGAAAATACAAGTAAACTCTATGTATATAAAAATACAAATATCTCTGTGGGAGCTTATCTAACTGACAACCATCACTTAAGAGCTATTATGACGATACAATGTTTTGCCTTATGCTGCCAGGGTCGTCCTATTCCTTGCCAAGGGTATAGAACCTGACTACTAAGTGGATCCACTAGTCTATGCTAAAAAGCACTAAGGAATCATCTAAAAAGTATGACCATTGTCTACCTATGGTGGCTATATGGTTTATAGGGGTTGTTAGTTGTCTGAACTCTCTCCATATCGGTGCTCAATACTACTCGCAAAATATGATACTAGCTCTTATGTTTAAAAACAAACTTCTTTCTGTGATTTAAGATGATTGCTCAAAACTTAGCTCAAAGGCTATCTTGGAAATCAAAGTTTCCTTTTCTTGTTTAAATGTGAAAACATTTTCTCTTTTGGAATACTTAGTTCCCATATAATCTTTTGAAGAAACTGAACTTCACTTTTACTCATAGTCAACTCAATGCTCAAGTCTTAAAACAAGCTTAAGGCATTTGTAAAAGACTTCTTAAAATATGGTTCATGTCGAATTATGGACGTGAACGACTCAATACAAGGTTTTCAATAACCATAGATAGAACTCAATAACTTCAATGATACTACTAATTTAAAGAATGCTCAACTAAGAGGGTTCATGAGAAGTTATGAGCATGAACTACTCAACTCAAGGACTCATAGATACTTCTCATATCAAGACTGTTCCACTTATAGGGTTCATGCAGAATTATGGGCATGAACAATTCAACTCAAGGACTTTATGGGTAACATGTAATAGTCCCATGATTAGATATATAATCTCAAAGGGGATTATCAACTCAATACTCAAGACTTATAATTTGAAGATACTACTCCTCTCAATGATACTCAATTTATGGAGTTCATGCGGAATTATGCGCATGAACAACTCGACTCAAAGGTCTGCCTAAGTCCATGGAAATCATGTATACGACTCTTTTGATTCTCTTACTTACTTCCTCAAAACTTAGTTCAAATCAATAGTTGATCTCAAAGGGTTCACAATCGAACTCAAAGGCTTTCTTGAACTCTCCTCTTAACACTCTCTTGATTGTCAATTATGAATTCAAGAGTTATTGGTCATGACATGAAGGATCTAGATGATAGTGTAGACTCATGAATACATTCTCCTCACTCTCATGCTCACCTACTTGAGTATTGAAACCAGTTACTAGAAATTGTACAAGACTCCTCAAAAGGACTCAAATGGACTCTCTCAAAATGATAGGCAAAACTCTCAAGACTTAACTCTTAACTTTTCCATGAATTTGAATTATTAATTCAAGGTTATGATTCATGTTATTAATGATTTCTAAGTGGTTGGAAGCAGTTTAGAGTGATTAAAATCAAAGGGAGTGAAGGTACACTTAAAAGGGCCTCAAACGGGACAACCGACGGAAAATGAGTGGGGAAGGCGACCCTGGCGCGTTTCAGGCGCGGGGCGCCAGCCCCTAACTTCAGAGTTTGCATATGGGCGCTACAGGGGCGCCACCCCAGCCACTTGGCCCAGTTGGTGCGCGCCGAAGCCTCTCCCCAGGTCAAGTTTGACGAATTTCGCCTCTTGTTTTCTGATCCTAAATCTCTTTTAATCAATTTCTTTTCTCAAGTTTTCCTTAGATTCAATTACCCAACCTAAGTACACACTAATCTACTCAAAACAATCACTTTCATCTCAAGAAATCATCAAAACCCCAACGAAATACAAAGCTTAAAAACTGAATAAAAATTCATGAAAACTTAAATACAAAGCTTTAACTCAAAAGAAAACTCTGAATAATATTATATATTCAACTTTCCCCAAAATAGGCAACTTAAGTCTTTAAAACATTTAACAAAATAAATGAACAGACTTCTGAAACTCTACTGTCTATCTATGAAGCCTCTAAATGACAAAGATGGAAGTCGAGACAAGACCCACAACATCCTAACAACTGATATAATTGAAAAGTAAATGAAATCCTCCGGAAGCAAGGAGGCTCACCATAGCTAACTTGAACTCCTTGTGGTATCAACGAAACTCATGTTGATGATCCCAAATAACTGAATCTGCTTTATGAAAGGATGCAGGCTAAATGACTCCGCACGTGGAATGTACGTGCATGTAAGGGGAATTCTAAAGCATAACATAAGCTTGAACTTGATAAAAAGGAAACATACTTACCTCTTCTTAACTCACTCAACTAAATCAACTCAAGAATAAGATATTCAACTCAAAGATAAGATATTCAACTCAGTGAAATAAGGCTCAACTCAATAATGAGATATTCAACTTAGTGAAATAAGGCTCAAATCAATAATAAGACACTAGACTCTTGGTACTCAAACTCTGGATACTCAACTCTGGATACTCAACTCAATATAAAACAAAAATAAGAGATGCAATATATGGAAATCTTTTAAAATAGTAGAAAGCAACACAATGTATTTAACAATACAATATACTCAGTTTGTATGCAAGGATAAAATATAAACTCTGTTTGTATATGAAATACAAGTAAACTCTATGTATATAAAAATACAAATATCTTCTGGGAGTTTTCTAACCAACAACCATCACATAAGAGCTATTGTGATGATAGAACGTTTTGCCTCACGCTGCCAGGGCCATCCTTTACCTTGCCGAGGTTATAGAACCTGACTACTAAGTGGATCCACTAGTCTATGCTAAAAATCACTAAGGAATCATCTAAAAAGTATGACCCTTTTCTACCTATGGTGGCTACATGGTTTATGGGGGATGTGAGTTGTCTGAACTCTCCCCCATATCAGTGCTCAATACTACTCGCAAAATATGATACTAGCTCTTATGTTTAAAAATATACTTCTTTCTGTGATTTGAGATAATTGCGCAAAAGTTAACTAAAAGGCTATCTTGGAAATCAAAGTTTCCTTTTCTTGTTTAAATGTGAACATTTTCTCTTAGGGAATACTTATTTCCCATATAATCTTTTGAAGAAACTGAACTTCACTTTTACTCTTACTCAACTCAATGTTGTAGTTTTAAAACAAGTTTAAACCATTTGTAAAAGACTTCTTAAAATATGGTTCATGTCGAATTATGGACGTGAACGACTCAATACAAGTTTTCAATAACCATAGATAGAACTCAATACTTGAAACTCAAGAACTTCAATGATACTACTCATTTTAAAAATTCTCAACTCAGAGAGTTCAAGCGGAATTATGAGCATGAACTACTCAACTAAAGGACTCAATGATACTTCTCATCTCAAGACTGTTTGACTTATAGGGTTCATGCAGCATTATGGGCATGAACAATTCAACTCAAGGACTTCATAGGTAACATGTAATTGTCCCATGATTACATATATAATCATAAAGGGGATTAAGAACTCAATACTCAAGACTTAGAACTTGAAGATACTACTCCTCTCAATGATACTCAATTTATGGAGTTCATGTGGAATTATGGAAATGAACGACTCGGCTCAAAGGTGTACGTAATTACATGGAACTCATGTATACGAATCTTCTCATTTTCTTACTTGCTTCCTCAAAACATAGTTCAAATCAATAGCTAATCTCAAAGCGTACACAATCGAACTCAAAGGCTTTGTTGAACTCTACTCTTAACTCTCTCTTGAATGTGAATTATAAATTCAAGAGTTATGATTCATGATATGAAGGATCTAGATGATAGTGTATACTCATGAGTACATTCTCCTCACTCTCATTCGCACTTACTTGAATCTTGAAACAAGTAACTAGAAATTGTAGAAAACTCTTCCAAAGGACTCTCTCAAAATGATGAGAAAAACTATCAAGACATAACTCTTAACTTTTCCTTGAATTTGAATTATTAATTCAAGGATATGATTCATGTTAAGAATGATTTCTAAGTGGTTAGAAGTAGTTTAGAGTGATTAGAATCAAAGGGAGTGAATGTACACTTAAAAGGGGGTCAA